TCACCCTCTGTGTCCGGGGCTGGTCCAGCCCCACGGGGACCCCAGCCGGGCGTCACCCAAAGGCTGCCCTCCTGCAGCAGCCCTCCATCCAGGGGGTGGAAGTAGCGCACAGGTAACTCTCAGAGGAAGTGAAGGTGAAAGCAGAACTAAGGACAAGGGAAGGTAAACTTGTGTTTAGTCAGTCTCTGGATGTGCCCTAGGGACCCGTCCTGTGAGGTCAGCGTCCGTGTCCCATTTTATAAAGAAGGGCTCAGAGGTTGTGCAGCTGGGGTACCGAGCAGCCTTTAGAAACAACTCTTTGTGATTTCAAAGCCCTGCTTTTCCCACGGCTGCTGACCTCACCCACAGCCGGGAGCCTCCTCCGGAGATGCTGGCGTGTCCACGCACACGGTGGGACAGACAGCTGTGGCCCAGGCCTGCCTCGCAGTGCTGTCCTGCCCTGCCCATGAGAAGGGTGAGCGGCTGAGCGTCAGCAAGGGCTCGGGGAGGCCTCTGTGCATGAAAGCTGGCCAGCTTGTTCACAGGTATCCCAGAGTTACTGTCATGCTGTTAAGTGAGGGATGCTTTACTTGTAGGAAATCATTTACAGGAACGACCAACTTAGTACCGTGATGTGCTCGTAAGATGACCTATCCTTGAAATGGCTCCTATACCACACGTGCACGCACGTGTGTGTGCACACACATATATGCACACATATATGATTTATCAGGTTTTTACATTTATAAATGATTGTGTTTCATCTCAGGGGAACATTGACTCCAAATTTTCACTCATCTCGTAGTCTCACTCTCCCAGTCACAGCTTAGGGGGGAGGAGGGAGCTCATCTGAGCTCTGCCCACTCACAGGTGTGTGCTCAGATCCAGGAAGCCCTCTGATGCCCTGATCTCCACAGCAGTGGAAGCCTTCGGGCTGTATTTTTTTCCCATGAGACACACCAAGATTGTTAGATTGCTTGTCCCACACCCTCGGCACGCCTGCTGACCCTGGGGTAGCTGTTCCCAGAGAGACCAGTGAGCAGGCAGCTGAGGTGATCCTTGCAGTTCTGGTTCTCTCCTTCCTGCCCCGACGAAGGACACTTGGAGAACATCCAGAAAAGCAGCAAGGATCAGCGGTGGTTTGAGCTGCGGCTCTGAAACCCAGCATCCAAGAGAGCTGCTGTGACTAGCTGTGTGACCTCGCTTTCGCATACCGTCTCTCCCTCTCCTCCGTCTCCGAGTCTGCAGTAATGAACCCCACACCATCCCTGGTGTCTGTGTCCCCGGGACCTGGGAGAACTAATGAGCTGGGCAGTCAGATGCTCCTCGTCCGAGTCTTGGATTGCAGGGCCTCTCGTAGGAAAGCTTGTGGTCAAGTGTGTCTTTGTGAGTGTGGTTTCTTTCAGGTCCTCACTTTATTATCCTTGCTTAAACACACATGCCCATAATATTGCTTCATATCAGCACATTTGTACCTGTTTCTCTGATATTGTGCATGTTAATGAAGTTTCACTGAGTTGTTACGAAGCACTCAGGACTGTACATCTAACAGAAAGCTCAATTGGCAAACCACTACTCACCCAATGGTTTATCTGGGTCAGGAAGATCCCCTAGAGAAGGAAATTGCAGCCCACTCCAGTATTCTTGCCTGGAAAATTCCAGGGACAGAGGAGCCTGGAGGGCTGCAGACCATAGGGTCGCAATAATGTTGGCACACAACTTAGTGACTGAACAAATGGCTTATCTGAAATATTGTGTCATCCTGCCACCCGTAAAAATGTAACAGTTAATACAAAGTTTCAAGTTTAAAGCACAGTTTTGTTGTACCAAATAAGCATCATGTCCAAAAAATTAAATTTCATTAAAGGATCTATTCTAGATCTAGCTCTAGATTAAGTTTAAAAAATTAAACTTAAGCTCCAGAAAAAAATATCCAAAACTCTTATTTTAGAGATGGAAATATAATATAAATGAGAAAATCATCTTTACATTTATAGATTTAATTAGCAGTTGTTTTATTACATATCTTCCATATAAATGGAAAATGATTTCAAGTAAGAGGCTGTCCTTTTCAATAGTTATTGTTGGGAGAGTTGATTTCTTGCTGTAAAGAGTGTGTGTGTGTTTCGGAACCTCTCCGATAACCTCAGAGATGGGCAGTGTTGCTCAAAAGGTAGATGCTCTTATGTGGGAAGAGAGAAATGTAGGTAAATATATCTATCCAAGGTCAAAACCAGGGATCGAACCCATGTGTCCTGCATTGCAGGCAGATTCCTTTCCACTGGGCCACGAGGAAAGCCCCTGTCAGCGAATGTGACACTTTTTCTTTCCACAACCTATTAGTCTTCTCGTTCTTTCAGCCCGAGGGGTTGTGTACCTGCGTCCAGGACCCTGCGTTTACCCCGTGTTCCAGCTGCTACCCATCGCTCATGCTAAGGGTCACCTCCTCCTCCTCGCCGTCTTTACCAGCTCGGCGGCCGCAGATAATCACGGCATCTCACAGCTCTGCTTTCTCCTCACGGGTGAACGAGGGTGGCGGCGCCTGTCTCAGGAGAGGACCTGAGATGCGGGAAAACACACAGGCCTGGTCTTGGTTCCCAACAAGGTCGAGTCGCCACAGGGACGGGCTTGCGAAGGGCCCTCAGCACACTGCGCGGTGGCGCTCCTTCCCAGACGCTCTTCACAGACGCTGTTCACAGGGCCCTTGGCCCGGCAGCAGACCGGTGACGGCCCTCCCCATCTCCAGGAGGCAGGCGTGGGCAGGGGCTGGTGAGCCCCGCGTGGCGCAGAGCACACGCGGGGCGGCAGTGGCGGGGGGTGAGCCCCGCGTGCGCGCAGGCGCACAGAGAACGTGTGCCGTCACGTGGCGTGCCACACGCTGAGCCGGGCTGCCGTGACGGGCGCGTGGGTTGGGTGCGAGCGTTGACGGGGGCGGCGACGTGCCCGGGTCCGAGGCCTGGTCCACACTGGAGCGCCTTCGAGGGCTGGCTGGGGGGCGGGGGTTGAGGGCCGGAATGGGAGGAGCAGGTGAAGCCGGAGGGCATTTAAGGAGCCAGCACGCGGCTCTGGGGGCCCAGGAGGGAACCCAGGCCACAGCAGGGACTTGGCAGCCTCTGACGAAGCCCTGGACGCGGCCGCGCGCCGGTCTGGTGCAGACAGGCTGCGGGCTTCCTGACGTCCGATGCTGTTCCCCACCAGCGTGCACCAAGAAAGAGGCGCGAGGGGCGGAGTGTTCGTTTGTGTTTCCTCCTCGGCAGCCACCTCGCCTGTGCCCCCCGCCCCACGGTGGCGAGGGTCGTACCGCTCTCCGGAGCCTGTTCCTCTGGGGGCCCTGCCCGAGCCCTGGCCATCACAGCGCAGAGCCCAGGACAGACTGCCTGCGACTCTGGGCAAGCGCACGCTGGCCGCGGGAGGCTGAGCCCCGCTCCTAATCTCTATAAGCCTCCTTTTCCTCTCCTGGAAAATGAGAATCATCTTGTCCCCACTCATCACGAGTGGATGTCCTTTTCTTTATTCAAATAGAGACAAAGGCGGGCGGGGGCAGCTTGAGGCTGGGCGGGAAGGGCCTGCCTCACAGGCCAGCGACGTGCTGGGCTGGCAACCACCACCGCCCAGGGCAGCCCAGCCCAGCGCTGGGCCCGGCAGATGGCACTGCCCGCCGTGGCCGGCCCGCCGCGCACCTCACAAGGGCTGCTTCTTCCCCTGGGCGTCCGCGCCAGGCCGCTCATGCCTGGACTGGGGCAGGGGGGAAACCTGATACCCTGTGTGAGAGTGTGAGAATTTCTTCTTTCTTATAAACCTGACACATGCCTTACACACAAGCCGCTCTGCCCTCTGTGCCCGACCCGGCCCAAGGCCGCCCTCTCCTCCCCACACGTCGGTTCATGCTTCTGAGCAGGAAGCAAGGGATGGAGGAGGCAGGGGACCCGGTGGAGGGCGGGGGCCCCAGACAGGGGCGGGGCGGGGGGGTGCGCCAGCACACACCTGGTCAGCCACTCGGCTGAGGCTGTCACACCGGGTCTCCCCCCTGCCCCCGCCCAAGCGTTTGTTCTTCTGGGGATGGAATGGTTCTTCTGGAGAAAGCAATCTGCAGTCAGGGGCTTGGGAATTAGGATTCAGAAGCTTGGAATTGGAGCTCAGCTGCCGGTGGAAAATGCACTGTGAATGTTTTATTCAGCAGTGCATATATAAGGTTGAGCAGAATGCAAACACATAAATCACTTAAACAATAGCCCTTAAACCCGCCTCCCAGCATTTCAGAGCCGCTGCCCAGTCGCCGGCGAAGGCCTCTGTTGCCACCTGCTGCTGGAGCGTGTTATCACACTCCAGGTCTCACTGGCTCTCCCGGGCCTCTGCGCTCACTCCCCAGGCACGGGCTTTTCCTGGGGTGACGCGTGTTCGGGGGCTGCACGAGGGACCGCAGCACCTTTAGAACTCCGTGGGGTCAGAGCAGAGATGACGGTGTCTTCGCTTGGCGTTTCACCGGACAGAGGCCTTGGTGCTCAGTCATTCCTGGAAGCACAGGGTCCTGTGACCGCTGCCTCTAACCGCCCATCACGGTCACCAGCATATTACAGCCAAGAAGCAGGAAGGGTTACTGTCTCAGCAGTGACACCTGCCCACAAGTCAGCACGGGCTCCTGTGACCCCGGGCGGAGGCCCCTCGCCCCGCAGCAGCCACTTTGTCCCCTGTGTAAGCCAGAGGTGAAGGTTACTGGGTCAGTGTTTGACCGCTGTCCAGAATGGCCCCTGTGTCCTAAGAGGCACCGCAGTCAGCACCACTGCAGGAGATCTGCAGCGCAGCCTGGGGCCTCGGAGCGCTTGACCATCTCAGGTGCCGCCTCAGCCTCCCCATGGGCCTTCTGGACCTGCAGGGGCACCGCTGAGGTCTCCCTGCCCTGAGATAGCACACGGGGCGTCTCAGCTCCTCAGAGTCTCACAGAGCGCTGGCTGGCTAAGACCGCCAGGGCAGGGAGACGGACAGCTGCTGGACCACGGGCTGCACGGCAGTGAAGCGGGCAGGCACAGGGCTGTGACCGCATCCTCTTTCCAGGCTGAGTCGCTGTGGCGTCCCCAGCTCTTGACATCAGGCGTGACTGTGAGCCCGGAAAGGTGCTGTCGGTTAATATCATCTCTTTGAAGAATGGTGAGGTCATGGAGGGAAAACCATGTTTCACATGGGCAGGGAAAAACTACAAAGCAGGAGGGATTTCCCTTAAGCCGTTAACCTGCGGAAGGGAGAGTGGAGCCTTGGGTAGAACAGACTTGAGACTCGTCATTTTAATAGAAAATGTGGAGCTTCGAGGACTCTGGGTCACAGCCCCCCCATCCCCCATCTCTCCCGTTCCTGCAAAGGGCCTGGGCCCTGGGACAGTCTTGTTTTCAATCCCACAAATGTGAAAAATGGTCAGTTACTTTATATAAAGTATAGATTTTTCAGACATGAAAACTCTAGATGCAAAAACTGGAAAATTCGAAATAAAACTCTGGTAAGATACATGTTACAAAGCTTACCATCTAAACTGTTGTACACCATGTTAGATTTGTAACAGGCTCTTATTGACTGAATAAGAACCTAAGAAGCAAGGAAGCAGGAGGCCTCGCGTGCCCACGGGTGCAGAGCCAGTTGACACACCAGGGGCTGTTCCTCAGCCAAGCCCGTGGTCCGAGAAGGGCCTCGGCCACCTGCTCTGAATACCCGGAACAGCCTGGGGCCTTGCTTCTCTGAGATGCTGAGCTCACGAAACTGCAGGCAGGCGTCCTGCAAGACTGAAGCTTGTGTGGTTTGGACATACATATCATGTGCTTACAAATTCCCCCTCCCCCCACATTTTTTAAAATTTCGTCAAATTTTAAACTTTATTTTTTAAAAAAAGGTGTAATATTAAACATCATTACATCAAAAGTATGAAAAAACCGGTAAAGAGGTACTGTTTTAAAAGCAAACACTCACTTTTACGTAAACTCCTCAGCCCCCAGCGCTGGCTGTGGTTTCTGTAAATACAGCGTGACCTGTGCTGTGAATTGAACTTGGTTTCTGTAGCCTTACTTGGAAGTGTCTTGTTGATCGAAGCTGGAGCCGTGATGCAGTAGCCCTGTTTATGGAGTCATGCTGACGGGGTGGGTTGAACTTTGATTCTTCCCCAACCTCCGGCTCGGGCCTGGAGCCGGATGAGTCAGAGCTCTCAGCTTGGCAGCTGCACCATTGAGAACAGCCTTCCCCCAGCTCCCGCTAGCCCAGACCTCTGTCCTCTCACCCTGCAGTAGCAGAGACTTTCACACCTGTTGCCCAGGAGTGTTAGCAAAGCAGGAGCTCCAGTTCTGGGAATTAAGTGCCCAGTGTAAGTGCCTGGAGCCTCGTAGGCGTTTGGTGAACATTAATACTACTTTTCTTTGGGGATTAAATTCTTAGGCTTTATCTTTAGCAACCACGGAATTTGAAAAAGTTAAGATGGATAGAAGTTAAGATGGATGGTGGCGATGGCTACACAAAAATGTGAACATATTTAATGATGCAGAACTGTATGTTTTAAAATGGCTCAAATGACATATTTATTTTGTGCATATTTTACCACCGTAAAAAAAGGAAGTATTGGGTTTGTTTCAAATTCTATAGCCAGGAAGCTTTTCTGAATGGAGTCAGCAGGAAAACTTAAAAGTCCTTGTCTTTGAAGGAGACATGACTCGTGGCATGGAGAGTGGACCCCACCTGGGGAGGTGATTCCGATGCCCGGAAAGCACACTCTGCTGACTGGCACGCAGCTCACAGTCCCGGGAGGCAGTTAGCTCAGAGATGGCAGTGAGGAGCAGAGAAGAGGATCCTTGAACAAACAGACATCTGCTTCCATCTGCAGCCAGAGTTAGTTTGCAACGGTTGTGATTTTTTTTGTTTGTTTCTTGTTTCCCTTCTAGCCTTATTACAGTTTGATTTGCAAATAAAAGTTGTGTATATTTAAGCATATGACATGATGTTTTCATACTCGCACACATTCTGAGATGATTTTCACAGCCGACCTGATTGAAACCCTACCCGCAAACAGTCCCCTTCTGTGTATGTGGTGAAAACACTGAGATTTGGTCTTAGTGGATTGCAAGTGTGCAGAACACCCTTGTGAACTGGAGCCGCCATTACATGGACACCCTTAGGTCTCCACACCGGTCTCATCTTATCAGTCAGATTTCGTACCTTTTGATCAGTATCCACCTCCCCTCCCCGTTCACCCTAGTAAACACCATTCATCCGAGCACTCCAGGAGTTTGGATTTTCTTCTTTTTATTTCTACATACACATGAGATCATGCAATATTGTCTTTTGTGTCTGTCCCAGCCCAGTGTCCTACGGGTCCATTCATGTTTTCACAGATGGAGGGATCTTCTCTCTGTGGGTGAGTAATATTGCTCTGTGTGTCCATGCATGCGCATATACACAGCATTCTCTTTTATCCATTCGTCTTTCAACCAACACTGGTTGCTTCTATATCTTGTCTATCAGAAGTAACTGCACTGACTGGGTGTGCAGAAATCTCTTCAAGGGACTGGTTTCATTTCCCTTGGGCATATACCCAGAAATGGGAATGCTGGATCAGATAGTAGTTCTATTTTTAATTTTTTTGGAACCTCTGTACTGATTTTCATGATACCTATACCAGTTTATTATTAACTTTGTCTTACAGGAAAATATGAACAAATACAAAAGTAGAAAGAACAGTATAATGAGCTCCGAGTACCCATCACCCTTCACCCTCCTCTCGTAATTACATCTTCATGGCCAATGGCATTCTATGCATATGCCCACCCATGTTATTTGAGAAAATGTATGTTTTATGTGAAATTATTTTAGTACATACTTAGAAAGATAGATTCTTTTGTGAAACATAACTATAATACCACCATTATAATGAACATACTAACAATAATTTCTTAATATCATGAAGTATGTGCATTTAGTTGCTCAGCCATGTCCAGCTCTGTGACCCCATGGACTATAGCCCACCAGGCTCCTCTGTCCATGGGATTTCCAGGCAAGAGTACTGCATTGCGTTGCCGTTTTCTTCTCTATCATCAAATATACAGTGTTTAAATTTTCAGATTATCTCACAAATATAATTTTCTTAACTTTGTATGTTTGACTTAGGATGCAAATAAGGTTTTGGATATTACGTCTCCTATCTGTGGGTTCACCATATCTTCCCCCACACACTCTTGTTTTCCCTTGTCGTTTGCTGAAAAAGTAAGTTCTCGTGTCTGAGTTTTGCTGGTTGCATCTTTATTTTGTCATTTATCGTATATAAAAATTGATAGTTGGATCTTAACCAGCTGGGTACTTATGCTTGGCTAGATGGTAGACTCACCTGGGAAGCTTTAAAAAAAATTCTGGCATGTGTAGAAATAGGTGGGCGGTTTCTAGATGAAGTTAAACATAAAATCACCTCATCCCCCAGCACTTCCACTCCTGAAGAACTGAAGCAGTTTTTAAACAGAAGCTTGTGCAAAAATGTTCATAGCAGCACTGTTCACAACAGCCAGAGGTCCAGACAGCCCAAGTGTCCTTCAACTGAAGAAGAGCTGGACACACTAGGACGTATGCATGTAGCAGAAATCAACCTTGAGATCTGCGAGTTCCTGATCATGCTTGGAGAACATCACGCCAGTGAAAGAAGCCTGGCAGAAAGCCACACGCTGTACGGTTCTGTCTCTAGGAAATAATTCAAGATAAGGAAACCCGGAGAGACATGAGTAAATCCATGGTGCTGGGGCAGGAGCGGGGGGTGACTACTGGGGGTGCGACGTTTCCTTGGGGCGGGGTTGAGGGGTGACAAGGTCCTGGGCTGGGCAGTCCAGTGTTGGTTACAGCACGTGACTGTCACTAATGCCAGCGGATTGGCTCCTCTGAAGGGGTTCAAGCGGAGATTTATGTTGCGTCTTTCACCACAGCTGTGTGCCAAGTGTGACCCGTAAGCCATGCCCGGGGCCGGGGCCGGTCCCTTTCCAGGAGCCCAGGGGCAGGAGGCCCAGTGCTGCCCACTGACCCCTCAGGGACGGGAGGGGGCTTCCTCCCTCCGCCCCCAGTCCTGGTGGCTCCTGCTGCCCTCGGGCCTGTGGACGCTCAGCGGGGCCGGCCCCCTGCCCCGGTCAGGAAGGAAAATGCCGTTTCCTAGTGAGACTCACCTCCCCCAAAGAGGGCTCGCAGCGGCCTTGGCAGGCCCGTCTGCTCTCAGCCAGCATGCTTTCCTGGCAAAGTCAGAACAGACTCAGAAAGACGGGCGGGGGGCTTGTTGCTCCTCATGGAGCATCACAAAGCGAAGTTCTCCGTGGGACCCAGGGCCGCCTGTGGGCTCTCTGCTCAGCTTCTTCAGCGAACACCCCGCCCACCCCCTCCTGGAAACGCCTGTGGCTGCGGGGAGCTCCTGCCGCAGGCCCACAGCTAGAGCGCTCCACCTGCCTCAGCCTCTGCAGCCCAGCCTGAGGGGCCGTGGGTGCTTCTGTTTGAATAACACGGGGCTTCTGCTTAAAGTATTAATTACCAGGGACGGAAACACTTTCAGAGGATGTGTGCTAGAGTACAAAGATGATGGAGTTTGGTCTTCCCAGATCCCTTCTCTCCTTTCCAGGCCCATCTCCAGCCCAGGAGCTGGCCGTCTTCTCCCTCCCTCTGTTCCCTGACCCTTGAGAGGTTACTTAGCTCTGATAAACTGGCCAGGTGTTGTTATGGATGTATACATTTGGAAAGGCCGTAGGTTTTGGAGTCAGAAGACCTGGCTGGGTTGAACTGTGTCAGCTCCATAATTTGTATACCAGTTGTGACAGTGTAGGCGGGTCATTAAATTCTTCTGATTCCTTTTATTCATCCATAAGATGTATGTATCATGCAGTGATAGGATATTTATAAAAATTAAGGGAGAAACTAAAAAGACATTTGTAATGAAATTAGAAAGATGGTTTATCCTTGGAAGGAAAGCTATGAAAACCCTAGACAGCATATTAAAAAGCAGAGACATCACATTGCCAACAAATGTCTATATAGTCAAAGCTATGGTTTGTCTAGTAGTCATGTACAGATGTAAGAGCTGGACCATAAGAAGGCTGAGCGTCGAAGAATTGATAATGTTGGAGAAGACTCTTGAGAGTCCCTTGGATTGCAAGGAGATCCAACCAGTACATCCTAAAAGAGATCAGTCCTGGGTGTTCATTGGGGGGACTGATATTGAAGCTGAAACTCCAATACTTTGGCCACCTGATGCGAAGAACTGACTCATTTGAAAAGACCCTGATGCTGGGAAAGATTGAAGGCAGGAGGAGAAGGGGACAACAGAGGATGAGATGGTTGGATGGCATCACCGACTCAATGGACATGAGTTTGAAAAGATTCCAGGAGATAGTGAGGGACAGGGAAGCCTGTGGTGTTGCAATCCATGGGGTCACAAAGAGTCAGACCTAACTTAATGAGTGAACAGAAACAACAAAAGGAAGAAGCTAAGCAATTACGCCACTCAGCCTGGTACCTGCCCAGTAAACATGACTTTCCTAACAATGGATTGCTCAGCAGGTGAAGCAGGACAGAGGTTGGGGGGCAGAGGGGGAGGGCTGGGGAGGGGAGGCAGAAATGCCCCTGTCCTCACCCTGGGGGTGTCCTGAAAGCCACAGTCATAGAAGCCTTCTTGGGGTGAAACCACGTCAGAATCCCCCACCTGTTGGTGGACCCAGGACTACATGAAGAAAAAGCTGTGAGTTTAGGGCAGAGTTATGAAGCCAGGACATGTCATGGTTACCTCTCAATTATGATTTGTATTGTCCTTTTTCTTTTCCACTCAAATTGTATTCTCCAGGTCATTAAATGTTCTTCTGCAATGTCATTTTTAATGATTGCACATTGAGGATATGCTTTAAGAGAAAGTGAAGGGCAACTCTGGCAACTAAATCAAAAGTCTAATCGACAGTAAATTAACCTGAGAAATGCAAGACTTTTTAGGATTTTCTTTGGCCAAGTCCTTGAGTGTCTGGCTCTATTTTGTTTTGGAGGAATATCAGAATTTCCCACTGTAACCTTGTTTTTATGAATTTGGGGTGTTTGTCTCCCGGTGTCCACTGCAGTGTTCTTTTCAGCCTGGCTTGGGGGTTGGGGGGAGACAGAAGGGAGCCCCGTTAATGAGGTGTGCCAGGGTGCATCCACCCCGGGTGTTTCCGGAGGCTCCTGGCCCTGGGAAGGTGTGGCCTTGGCTGACAGCCGGTGCCCACGTCCCGGCGTCTCACACAGCGGTGCTGGCAGGGCGGGCGATGAGGGGGACAGAGGGGCCGAGGGGCGTGTGTGTCCTGACCCGGGGGTGCTGAGTGTGAGAGGCGCGCTGTGGGGGCGTGGGCACGCTGCTTCCTCCTCCTCCTGTGTCTGCTGTCTCCACCATTTCTCACAGGAAGCAAGGTGGGCCCACGGCCCCAGGCGTGGCGTCCACCTGGGTGTGGGGGGTGGAGAGACCGCCCCGGGGGCTGGGTCTCGGGGGCAGTGCCCAGGGCAGGGGTGGAAAGGGTGGGTGCTCACCCTTTTCTCTGCGGACACCTGCTTACTCCCGCCTTCTCAGCACCGGGCCGATCACGCCCACGCTGGGCCGGCTGCCAGGAGGTGGGCCCGCTCACAGCCCGAACCTTCCCCCGGGCCGCGCACCCCTCTGGGTTGCCGTGACCCCGCCTCCGGATCCGCTGTGTGCGGCGCTCTGGACGCTGTGAGTCTGCTGCTGCGGCCATCTCAGGTGTCGCCGCCCCGCACCCCAAACCCAGAGTCAGGGACTCGTAACCAAGCGGAGCAGCGCGCGCCCGCACCCTGTGCTGTCCTTGTCCAGTGAGGCGCAGGCGCGGCCCGGCGGCCGGCCTCCAGAAGCCAGCCGTCGCCCACTCAGTACTGGTCTTTTTCTCCGAGCTTTTCCTGTCTGTCTAAAGCAGCTCTGTAACCCGAATCGGCTCTCACTGACCCTGAAGGGGGGTCCTGAGGGATGGCAGAGCACAGGGCGGCCTGACTGTCCGAGGAGGCGCGCGGACAGCGTTCCTCGGGCGGGGGTAAAGGCGTCGCGGAACCCGCTGGCCCCAGCCACGGATCACCTCACCTCGGGGCGATGCTCGCGCTGCCGGCCTACTGGCCTGGGGCCCGCATGCAGGCCCGAGGGGCGGCAGCGTGACCGACGGGCTTCTCTCTGGCGGTTTGCCGGGCTCCTGCGGTCACCAGCCTGGGGAGGGGCCAGCCCTTGCGCTGACGGGACCCTGGGTTCTGCCCGCTCCCAAGAGGGCTTGGTGAAGCCCCTCCAGCAGCACCTCCAGCCGCTGCGGGTGCCGACCTGCCACCAGGTGGCTTTCGCCTCACAGAGCTTCCCCACCCACCCCGGGACTCGGGACGCGGCCAGCAGACAGTCTGTCTCCGGTGTCCCCCGGGGGCCAGCTCTGCACCCGTCCCCGGGGCCGAAGGATACGGGGTGTGGTGGGCACCGGCCAACACGTCTCCTGCTTCACCCGAGCGGCGTTCTCAAGTCTGAGCTCTTTGGAGCGTCTCCTCGTTCTTGATTCTGCCCTCTTCTCTGGAGCCCTTCATGGCGCTGAGCGGGACCAGGCACCTCACAGGGCTGCATTTCTTGCGAGAGCACCTAGCCCTGTAGATGCTGGCTCTGAGAACCAAGTACTGCGTGAACTGTCTGGCGGGGCATCTGTTAGGAGGACCAAGCTGGGGAAGGGGGCCGTGGGCACACACACTGACCACGGTGAGCCAGGTGGAAAGACGTGTTTGTCCTGCCAAACCTTCAGACCATCCAGAGGGTCAGTTGTCAAGCAAATGCGTACTTTTGGAAAGTAGTTTTGCAAGATCCATCAAGAGCCATAAAAATATTCATACCTATTTACCCAGTAATCCCACTTCTAGAAACCTTTTACAAGAAAAATCAGAGATACTATAAAAGGTTTATACATGAGAATGGTAACCCCAAGACTCAGCAAAAACTCTACAAATATTCATCATATGAGAATGATTAAATTATACCTCTTCACAGTGCAGTTTTGTCCATTATTAAAAATATCCTTTCAAAGACTACTTCATGATATAAGGATATAAAGTTAAGTTTTTAAAAGTTATTGTTCCAAATTTAAATATTCTGCTTGAATATATACGCATACAGTTTAAATGTATAAGTGAATAAATAGACCAAAAAAATGCTAAAATATTAATAGCTACATACTCTAACACAAGTATTGTGGGACAAAAGGAGATCTCTCTAAGTCTTCATGTGGCTTTGTTTAAACTTCAGGAATTTTCGGACTGTCCGTTAATGGCACTTCCCCAGGTGATAGTAATATTGTTTCCACTTATCCTAGACACACCTTCTTTGCAGTGACCTTTTTTTATCAGTCATCAATTAAAATTCACAATATGCATTCATATCAATTAGGATTTGGTTTAGTTGTGTATAACAAGAAATGCAAATAACACATTTAAAAATATAGAGATTTTTCTCTCACGTAAAAGAAAGTTGGCAATAAGCTAGTTAAGCTGGCTCCACAGTCATCAAGAACCCAGGCTCCTGCTTCCTGCTTCTCATCTTCAGTGTGATGAAGCAAACTTACCTCCTAGTGCTAGAATGGCTACAGATGCTCCAGCCATCAGGTCACAGTTACCTCCCTCCTTGTGTCTCCCCTCCCAGACTCTGAGCTTCCTGAGGGCAGAATCAGTCTCAGTCTCCCCCGAGCACAGTCCTGGTACAGGAGGTGCCTGCCACTCATCTGTGTCTTGGCTGGGACTAGGCTGCCCTTCACACCTCCTCCAGGGCTCGTGGGGGCTTTCCCTCAACAAATGCCCCTAAATCATCTCTGCTGCTTAGCCTTCTGATCTCCGCTTCCTTCTCTCATCGTCTCATCAGTGGTCATAGGACTGCAGGACCCAGGGCCACAGCACGCCTGGGTCACCTGCCCTGCCTTTGAGACACATGCCCTTGAAGGTGGCCCAGGTGGGCTGCCATCTGGGGACAGCAGGCTTCACAGCATCGCTCTGGCTGCTGCCGGCTGAGGGCACATTAGGAGGCAGGGCTGGCCCCTCGGGAGGTGGCAGGAAGCCCATTACCCTGCCCGCACTGTGGCACCCATGCGACTGGCCCTGGGCTGTCACACCCTGTAGGTACCAACGGTGTTGTGGGTCCAAAGCAGAAGACTGAAGATCTGCTGGGAACCGCCAGGGCTCTCTTACAGGCGAGGATGCTGAGACCAGAGGACAGAGGTGGACAATGAGAGAGGTGCGTGCAGAGCCAGGCTTTGCCCGGTATGGATGAGGCTCACTCACGCTTTACGGTGAAACTCCATCCTGACGGAAGAACCGGTCCTAAGGGCCGGAAATCATGTGGGTGTGGAGTCACCGTGCGCAGGGCAGCCTGGGTCTCACTGGCTCAGGATAGCCCGCCACTGGGACTGTTCCAGGGGTGAGAAGGCGTGAATGGGAACCTCCCACTGTCCCCAAAGCAGGGGAACTGGTGTGGCGGGGTACGGTGCCAAGACGGAGCGGAAGCAAAGCGGTGACTGCACTCTGGCCGCAGCACAGCTTCCAGAACGACGTGCGTCTGCACAGCGCCCTGGAGATGCTCTTTCTGAGTTTCCGCAGCTCACGGAGCCGAGTCCCTGACCTTTGTGTTCTCTTTGCCTCCAGGTCCACATTGGCCAGATGTATTCGACTGACAAGCTTGTCATTGAGAATCAAGAGAAGCCCCGGGCCTAGGAGCTGGGACCAGCCTCCAACAGCAGCATGGACCACCGGCAGCATCTGTTCTGTTTGCCGCAGGGCCCCTAGCAGACCTCGAGGGGCCCCTGCATCAGCTTTAAGTAGCCTCACTCTGCCTGCCCTCCAGGAACTGATGAACTGAGCGAAGTGTCGCCTCTTCTGCAGCCTTAGTGACAGAGGTCGGCTGGAGCGCCTCGAGGGAAGGCCGTGTACAGTGGTGTCTCGTCCACCCCACCCCTCTCTGTGGCTCCGCAGCACCTGTATAAAGCATTTCCAGACATGTTTCTCAGTCCTTGACAATAAATGAAAGCATCTCCCTGGCCTTCTCTACCAGACACACGTGTCTTCATGATTAAGGCGATTTTGTTTCCTGCTGGTGCCGGGCCTGCAGAGGGTGGTGGGGGGCCCAGCAGGGAGGGTCCAGCCCTGAGCTGAGTGGCCCCTTTGCAAAGGCAAGTCCACACATTGGAAGAGATCCAGGGATGAAGGGGAGCAGGGTGCATCCTACCACTGAGACCCGGGCCCAGCGTGATAACAGAGGTTCCCTGGGTGTGGTCGCTCACCTAGAGCCGGGTCCTACAACCCGCTGCTCAGGATGGTCTCAGGATCACTGACGTCAGCCCCACTGGGGAGCTTGCTAGAAGCACAGAATCTCGAGCCCTACCCCAACCTGTTCTGAATCAGAATCTTCAGTCTGACACACCCTAGGGGACTCCAGGGTACGCTGAAACGTGCATCCCAAAGCTCACTCACTGAGTCAGAGTCACCTGGAGAGACTGGGACTTTTTAAAAAGGACTTTCTCAGCGCTGCATATTCTGACTTGATAAGTGGCAGACAAGGCACTGTGATTTACTTGTTGTTGTTCAGTTGCTCAGTCGTGTCCAATTCTCTGCAACCCTGTGGACTGCAGCATGCCAGGCTGCTGTCCACCACCAAGTCCTGGAGTCCACCCGAACTCATGTCCATTGAGTCGGTGATGCCATCCAACCATCTCATCCTCTGTCGTCTCCTTCTCCTCCTGCCTTCAATCTTTCCCAGCATCAGGGTCCTTTCCAATGAATCAGTTCTTCTCATCAGGTGGCCAAAGTATTGGAGTTTCAGCTTCAGCACCAGTTCTTCCAGTGAATATTCAGGGTTGATTTCCTTTAGGACTGACTGGTTTGATCTCCCTGCTGTTCAAGAAACTCTGAAGAGTCTTCTCAGCACCACAGTTCAAAAGCATCAATTCTTTGGCACTCAGCTTTCTTTATGGTCCAGCTCTCACATCCATACATGACTACTGGAAAAACCATAGCTTTGACTGGACTGACCTTTGTCCGCGAAGTAATGTCTCTGCTTTTTAACATGCTGTCTAGGTTGGTCATAGCTTTTCTCCCAAGGAGCAATCGTCTTTTAATTTCATGGCTTCAGTAACCATCTGCAGTGATTTTGGAGCCCAAGAAAATAGTCTGTCACTGTTTCCACTGTTTCCCCATCTATTTGCCATGAGGTGATGAGGCTGGATGCCATGATCTTAGTTTTTTGAATGTTGAGTTTTAAGCCAACTTTTTCACTCTCCTCTTTCGCTTTCATCAAGAGGCTCTTTAGTTCCTCTTTGCTTTCTGCCATAAGGGTGGTGTCATCTGCATATCTGCGATTATTGATATTTTTCCCAGTAATCTTGATTCCAGCTTGTGCCTCATCCAGCCTGCATTTCTCATGATGTATTCTACATATAAGTTAAATAAGCAGGGTGACAGTATACAGCCTTGACGTACTCCTTCCTGACTTAGAACCAGTCTGTTGTTCCATGTCCAGTTCTAACTGTTTCTTCTTGACCTGTATACATGCTTCTCAGGAGACAGGTAAGGTGGTCTGGTATTCCCATCTCTATAAGAATTTTCCAGTTTGTTGTGATCCACAGTCAAAGGCTTTGGTGTAGTCAATGAAGCAGAAGTAGATGGTTTTTTGGAATTCCCTTGCTTTTTCTATAATCCGGCAGATGTTGGCAATTTGATCTCTGGTTCCTCTGCCTTTTCTAAATCAGAGGAACCATAGATCAAATCACCAACAATGATTTATAAATTTTTAATTTCTCCTGGTCTTTTTAATGTTTAGCCAGTTCAGGAAACTCTGCCCTTTGAGTATGTTACAGGTAGAAACCATATTCATGTGCATTTATCCTTGAAAATACACCAGTTCAAAACAGGAAAAGAAGGAAGTTTATGAGGGACCGGGATACCGGGTGGTTTCTTGCTAATCACCCCCCTCCATCAGCAGCACTGAGTGACTTTATTACTCGCGTGTTTGGGTTTACAATAGGCTCGTATAAGTAGCCGCAGGTCCTAACGTAGTGGTGACTGTCCCCGACGGGCCGCTGCACGCGCCGCTCCCTGCATCACTAATTCTCACAGTCGAGGGCATCCTCATGCCCTGGTGAAGACCGTGTCTGCCCGCCTCGTCTGTGGATGGTAGATGGTGTTGTGACACTGCATTCAAGTGTCCCAACGTGTGTTCATGGCGTCTGGCGATATCTGACGGTTCCAGGATGCTCTGGCCCACGTGTGCCCCTGAGACCCGTCCCTGCCCTGTCCCAGGTCTGTTCCCCCTGTGAACCCAGATCCTTGCCCGTCTCAAGGCCCCGGTGTGAGAGCACCACTCAGCAGATGGTGACCGTGGTGGGAGGCAAACCTCCCCCCTGCCCCCAGCTGGCTGTCCTGGGGCAGCGTCTCAGCCTGGGTGTGTGGCTCTGGGACCGTTCCCTTCTGCCCCTTTGGTAAGGAAAGCAGGCTTTTTCTCTGACCATTTGCCCTGAGTCTGTGGGGGGGGCTCACCTCACCCCTGAGAACAAAGAGGATCTTCCCTTTCAGTCTGCCTGCAGCCCTTATTAGTCCTGCAGGGAAACGTTGAAGAAAATGGCTTCTCCTGTCGAGATCCACTTGAAGAGTGAGACAGATGCTCTGACTCAGATGCTCAAAGGCGAAGCTTTAAGTCCAAAGACCCTCAGGAGTGAACCCGGAGCAGAGCCCTCCGGGTGAATCTGGGAGGACCCCTGACAATGTCACCGACAGCAGACAAAGCTGGCGTCTTGTCTTGGAATTAGGCCACAAGCGACGGTTGGCGCGAGTGGAGCGGGAACTGCACTTCCCTCTTCCCAGCGGCCCGGCGCTCACCCGGGGGCCGGGCCAGGCATCGACGTGCGGGCGGCCGCTCCCGGAGGGGCTGGACTTCGGGTCCATGGCTCAGCCGGAAAACGGCTTCCTACAAACGACCCGTGTCCTTTTCCTTCTCAAGTGATGAGCTTTCCTGGGAAGTTAGAAACCTTTTCCTCTCATCAACCAGAAAGTTACAGGGAGCCCCCTCCTAAATGTCAGTTAAACATTGTGAAAATATTTCAGTCGAACTTCCCTTCAGTTAGTGAGTGAATTCAGGTTGAGGACGTCTGTGTTGAATACAGAGACAGTTTAATAACAACATAACTGGTTCTAAGTTTTTAAAGGAGTGATTTTTTTTAATTTAAAAAATTTATTTATTGAAGTGCAGTGGATTTAAAATGTTACGTTAGTTTCAAGTGTACAACACAGTGACTCTTTTTTTTTTTTTTTTAGATTTGTACAGGGTCTTAGAAAAATGAATTTGTTATTCCATAGAAGGAGTACTTTCCATTTAGGTGCACCTATGTGATTTATGAAGCCCATGTAGGATATACGATCGAGGACTCCAATATTAATGCTAAGAGTCTCATCTTCCACTCACACTTCAACCACGGAGCATATTTAGGATTATTAACTTGCCAGATTTTAGCATGTATTTTTACTTCTAAAAACACAGCCTTTCACTTCCTTTTGGGTCTCTACAACAGAAGCTTGTTCAGAGAGGAAAACGATGTATCAATAACACAGACTGAAAAAATAAATAAAACATTTCTTAAAAAAAAAATTGGAAGACAGGAATATGGTGTGGTGGGAGGAATGCAGATGGTGGAAAAAAATCCAGCCACTGAGGCGGGCAGCTGAAGACCGGGGTCTAATTTAATCTTCAGCTCATGAACATCACCTTCATGTTGCAGGGTCCCAGGGCTGACCAGACCACTAGTGAACTTTCCAGCTCTAAAAGTCTGCAATTCCAGTTAAATCAAAAGGAAAGAAACCATCCTCCAGGCTATCTGCATGCTCTTCTCGGTTCACTTTTCCTTTGGCCCCACCTTGTGGCTTGCAGCGTCTTAGTTCCCCAGCCAGGGTTGAACCCGCGCCCTGGCAGTGAGAACACCGAGTCCCAGCCGCTGGACCACCAGGAATTCCCTGAGTGCTAGCTTCTGGCACAATCAGCAAGAAATCGCCAGCATCCGTCCCCAGCTTCGTGTGGAACTTTGGTGCTGTTTGGGGCCACTCGGCCCAGCCCGTGGCCCACGAGAATGTGGATTTGGGCTGGGCTGGGCAGTGAAGCCAGCTGGCCGCCTGCAGACGCACAGAGAGCTCACGGAGCAGGCCCATGGCCCCTTGGATTCCTCGCCAGACAGCAGTTCAGAGTCTCAGCCAACAAGTGTGTTTCCAGCTGCTTCTAAACTGAGCACTTTTTCTCCCTGGCTTCTGCTGCTGCTTCTGCGATTCCTCAAGCAGTTTGAACCCGGTTGAAAAAGAAAGGGGATGTCTGCCTCTTGCTCACCAACAGTAACTGCCCCCTCACACGTCTTCGCAGCAGGCACAGGGTTCAAAAGAAAGTTCTGAGTGTTCTCGGCAGGGGGGTCAGTTTGGGGTGGAGGCACGCCCCCGAGAGTCCGGCTTCATGACTGGGGAGCCCTGCTAAACACCCGGAGAACAACCAGAAAACCAGCCAGTGCTGGCCTGGGCGCACGAGCAAGAGAACAGGCTGGGCAGAGGGAACTCAGAGAGATCCTGGGGCTGGAATATCCCAGGGCGGGTGAAGACTCGGGTCGGGAGGTGGAGCGCACATGGGGAAGGCAGGCGCCCCATGAGTGGGAGCGGAGACGAGCAGGAAGCCCTGGCTCCTCAGCGGCTCCTGGGCTTCCCAGGGCTCAGCGGCAAAGAGCCCACCTGCCAACGCAGGAGACATAAGAGACCCAGGTTCGATGCCTCGGTCGGGAAGATCCCCTGGAGCAGGAGACGGCAACCCGCTCCAGTGTAACCTGGAGAATCCCACGGACAGAGGAACCTGGGGGCTACAGTCCATGGTCGCAAAGAGTCAGACACGACTTACTGACTAGACTCCACGCTTCCACTGCAGGGGCCGTGGGATCGATCCCTGGTCAGGGAACTAAGATCCCACAGGCAGAGTGGCCAAAAAAATTCTTTTTAAATAGTGTGTGCTTGGCACGCCGCAGAGAGCCTCCCTTCA